AATTGATTGAGTTAAGATAACCTAGTAAAAAATCGACAGGAGGATGTCTAATCAATGCTGACATAGCAATTTATCTAGAAGCTCATCAAGAGGATGGCTAAGCCATCAACTGAAAGAATGTTGGCCCGATACAAAGATGTATCCCATAGAAGAGTCTTTCCGACGAAACGATCAACCCCATAAATATCTTTAATTGTCCACAAAGACCGAAAACTTACTGTCATAGAGGATTTCTGAAAATAGTCAACCAAAACAAGTCGAACAAGCTAAGACAACACAGATAAGCCATCGAGCTAAGCCAGACGAGCCACGCCAGCTCATATAAGCCGACAAAGACAAAAAAAAAAAAAAAGACTAGAAGATGAGTAGTCCCCTATAGATCTCCAAAAATATCTCAGTGTAAGCCCTTCAAGATATGGGCAAAAATGAAATATTATTGTTGTGCTAAATCCTCTTTAAATAAGAGAAATATTTATTGAAAGGAATTCCTCTTTTCACTTGTTCATTCTTTGATATCATAAGATCCAATATAAAAACCACCTCCCTCTCAGTCATTTCTCCACTCTACTCTCACGTTCTATTTCTTTGGTGTGATTCAAAAATATTTTTTGATTTAACATCTTAAAAGGTGCGGTGAACATGAATCATACCGCAAACAATAACAGGAGCAAACTAAGGAGAAAAACCTCATAATAGAGAGACTAAAAACAACATGGGTGCACGCAGGAGTTTGTAGCTGAATAGATCCAAGATTTGAAAGATCTAATGCTGGAAGTGACCAAAGGCGGGCTGACCATGAGAGAGATCAACATCGTGGACAAGACACTACGACACCAAATGACAGAAGAGTCCCCTCAACCTTCAAGAGGGAGAATGTTACCCAATACAACGACTGTGTTAGTTCGGCGCCAATCGATCACAACCAATTAAGAGGCACGAAAGCGACTTGTAAACCAGGAAATACGTTCTCTCGACATTTTTTTTTAGGAATTTAGCCACAAGAACAATACAAGATTTTGGCACTAGAATCTTACAAATTATGATTAGAAACAGTTGAGCATATTGTCATATTGCTTCTTTTGAGTCGACCATATGTGTTCTCAGAATCAATGACGAACTAAAATGTCGACTCTGTTTCACCGCGCTGAGATATTCAACCCTCAGACAGTTTAATGAATTAGTGTCTGAAGTAATCACATCGTTCATAGATTTTAAGCAGATGTCCGTTGCGAAGTTCGTGAGAGCTCAAGAACCCCAAAAGTGCTTGCAGGCTCTCACACAACTTTGTCAGGGACAAAGCGAGACTTCACGTTTTCATCACCCGCTTCTAAAAGGAGATGTTGTTAGATTTTCGAGATTTAGAACCTACGATCAGTCATGCAGTCCTCGCCGAGAGATTAAATAAATGACATTTTCGTTATGTGCTAGGTCTACATCGTCCGGAGATGGTAGCTGAGCTATTAGAACCATACAACAATCATATATCGACAGAAAAATATATTTCTCCTCTTGCTTCATTCAGAACATAACTCACCAACTGCGACCTGCCAAAGAGAATCGTCCACAAAGAAGGTTGGAGACCAAGAAACAACCCTCACCCTACCCGAGCTCGCTTTAAAGATTCACAACCACGCCCGATTCTTTATGTTTACTTATTGTTAAATTCAAAAAATACATATAGAATCTTTTAACTAAATGCACGATCTTAGATCCAAACGACACTTGGAGAACTCAGTGGGCAAATGAGTCTGACTGATACTTGGGGAACACAAGTCAACTCGCCAACGGTGTTTTCATTCGAGCAGTTGAATTAACATCTCAAAAACTTACTAAACAACGATGCTTGACATCTGAATGGGAATCCCCTTAATTACCAGATCAACAAAACTCATGCACCATAAGATTCCCATGTCTCTGGCCCCGGAGCACAGGTCAAGCTATTACAGCTAGATTCCCTCCTCACTCATGATAAGATTAGCGGAGGGCAGCACATGAATCACCCTAATGACAAGTCTAGACGACTGCCCCTACAAAAACTTTAATAGGATCCACTTAATATGATTAGTGTAAGGTGTGGCCCGTCCAGGACAAAGACTTAACCATGTGACCAAGACATGGGTAGTGTAAGACTTAAGACTTGATTCGGGCGATGGCATATTAAAAAACTCTTTGATTTTTTTCGACCCCATTTAACTACTCATCTCTACAATACTATCCTAATCAATTGGCCCTTTGACCAAATTAACCAACGTGAAATCACAATCTCCTCATCTTACAAGTTCTGTTGTCATCAATCTTTGCAGTTAAGCACAAAAAAAAAATAAAAAGAGGAAGAAAAAGAAGAGAGCTCCAAGTTACAAAAATACTTTTTCATTTCTTCATTTATAGTTTAACAAAAAATAGTTTACAAAAGTTTAAAAAAAAGGTAAAAGGAAATGTCGAGATCGATCATTACATTTGACGACCCGTTGTAGTCTCTACTATTTTCGCTACCTCAGTTGGCTTCCACTTCCTTAGGCTCGGAGTCGTTACTATTGTAGAGAACTTCTCGAAATCAACACAATTAAGGGAAAATAGTTCACCCTTTTCCATATGAGAGCCATATATGATCCAGTCCTGGGATTTCTCCGTAAGAAGAGCCCTCTTGCATGGGAAGAGAAGAAAGTTTGGAAAAGAATTCTTCAAACATTTTCACCAATTCTTCAAACATTTTCGCCACAACCATATTCGCTCTTTTAGAAACTGATTCTCTTTTTCTAAGTCTTAAAGAAGTAAAGATCGCTCAAGTTTGTCTGCTTGGGTTTTTTGTCACGTCTCTTCCAATTCTTTCTCCACCGCTACCATCCTCTCTTCAAGCCCGACTTTCCTCATGAAGGAGGGTCAATTGAGTGCAAGCTTGCCAGGTCATCACATGATATCAATCAGTAGTTCGACAAAGGCTGACTAAGCTCTTTTCCAACAATGTCTCCTTCAAACTCAGACACCACATCTCCTTGACCATTAGGGAAGTGTAGTGGGCAACAACCAAAGAAGTAGAATTCTAATCTTTTCAAAGATCGATCAATAAAATTTGTCGCCCAACTGAGTTTCACTTTTGCCTTCTCTGTCTGCATAGAAACTCATTTAAACTCTTGCCCCATGTGCTTCTTTCGGAACAACAAAGGGGGAAATTCATCCTCAGAAGTCAACTCTTAGGAGCATTTCCTCATCAGGAATTTTTGTTGAAGTCGGTCACGAGAACCTTTCCCTTTCGACAATGCTACCCTTTGAGAAGAACTGTCTCGGACAAGTTCACCTTGCCTGGTGATTCAGTAGACTCTTCAAAATGATGATCTATTTGGCGTCCCAACGGTGGCGCTGTCGTCAACTTGCCCGTGTTGATGAGGAGATAACGACTAGCTTTATCTCTCACTGACAAAGGCAGAAATCTTGGAGCTTCTGGTCAGAAGTTATTAGGCTCTACCTCTTGAACTTACTCCTCTTAAGCCTCCCTCTCCTGATGGCTCGATACTTCATGACTCACTGCTTCTTCGACATCTAGCTGGTGGATTCCTTGAGAACCTACAAAAGGAAACAAACCTCTAATTTCTCTCAATATCTCAACCTCTAGATCAGAATCAATTCATATGTTTATGCTCTTTGAAAAACAATAGTGGTATATATCAGTTCCGCACCTACCGAACCCTCAGGGCCCTTGCTCTATCAAGGACCTTTGGCGTTGGATTTTTCTTTATCCTAACAGCGTCCAAGCTAGGCCTTTTCTTGGTGATCTGAGCATTCATAGTTTCCTCTCTCTTGGTCTAGCAAACATTGGAGACTTTCCAATCATCCCCAACCATCACATTGGAGGTGTCGAGTTGCAAGACCTTGTTGACAAGATTAGGCTCCAAGTATTATTAAACTGATAATTTGGCCCCCTCAACCTTACTCCCCACTAACAATACTACTGTCGCTGACACCTTTGTCTTTGCTTTAGAGGAGCCTCACCTAATGGAACTGTCTGGATGGCCGCTCGGCGAGGAAGCCAAGCAGAACTGTTGCTTTCAAACCTTCACCTTATTTCTAGTCCTAATAGCTGGAATTTGTCAACTACCAAAATTTGTACAAACTGTTCGGTCCAACCTGAAATGGGAACAGATAATTGAATAGATCTATCGACCAAGGGATCCCTTGCCATTGAGAAAATATGAGAAAATTCATAATGGACACAATGGAGTTTGGCTTCACCTGCGCTGGGATAACTCCATAGTTGTTGAAGATGGAGTGTAACTTGATACAAAATGAAAGGTGAAGGTCGAGTTGGAATTGGTCCTTATAGAACAAAAGGTCACCTACGTGCAATGTGGTCGCCAAATCTGCCGCGCTAGGGACATGAAGATTGATGGAAGAGCAAAAGAGATGACTCCTCTGCAACTAGTCGACCTCCTCTCGAGTCATTCACGACTAGTCATCCAAAGCTTGCAATTCAAAGTCCCTCAGAGAATACCTTGGCACTATCGAGCTATCGTCAAAGTGAAAAATTGAAGTTCGAGAGAGCGAGAGATGAGAGAAATTAAATGAAGTGTTCCCTCGTATCTCCCCCCTTTATATATATAGAAGGACAAATGAAGTTCAAAAGTCGTGCAATGGTAAAATTGGAAATGGGCAATCATTTCCAAAAGGATAGTCAACAAGAATAAAAAAATACACAGAACTCAATGAAAAAATATCTTTATTCCAAAATAACACATGGATAATGATAAAACACTCAGAAATAGTTTGAGGAATTGAAGTATTACACGAGGGAGTCTGACACCACTTCAACCAAGATATGCCTTAATCAAAGCAACTTTTTATACAAAATTTCTCCTCCAAACCAAAATTGTTTCAACCAATTTGATTTAGCCTGCGACTAAAGGATTTGAGACTTATCTTACTGGATCTCGACCAATTGAATGAAAGAACTTTCAATCTCATCCAAACAACGAACCAACATCTGATGGGACATCAAGATTCCTTCGCCAGTTTCCTCGCATGTCTTAAGTGGAAGTGGAGGGCATTGAGGCAGTTGACCCCACCACCCTCACTAGAGAATTGGCCACTCTCATCTCTGTGTGATTTGCGCTTCTCTTCAGTTCGATCGGACTGTCATTTGGATTTGGCTATATCGGAGCATCTAAATCACAAATAAAAGACATCCAACTAAAATCCAAAAAAAAAAACAAACTCTATAAATCCAAGACAAAATTTTGTCATACTCAAGAACCGAAACAATTCACACTGTAAGCTCACCAGAGAGCACTGGTGGAAGCGATAGAAGCACACAAGAAACTATTCGAGAGACCGACTGGTAGGAGGGTCTTGCGCCACAACAGATAGTTGAGTGGGCATTTCAGAGACCAAGCCAAACGGTTGAATGGCTTTCAATACTACACAAAGGATCAAATTAGATAAGCCCACCTGATCCAATAGCAGGAACCTCTTTCTCTTCACTATAACTTTCTTTCTCCCCTCACCCACCGGGCGATCCCATCATTTTCCCTTGGCAAATACGAAATGAATCTGATTCTTTATAGGGACATCGACATGAGACTTCATGAGCATGTCCATTCTAACACCAAAAGCACGAGAGATGATCGATCCAAACGAAGAAAATTACATACTGAAATAGGCATGAGAAAGCGTCCCATCACCCTATTTATAAGAATTAGAGGCTATGAAATAAATAGTCTAATCATTGAGTTATTAATTAAAGTTGAATGATCTATTTTTTAATATTTAATTTTCTAATTCTCATACCAACATTGCTTTCAAAAAGAAAGATGATCGGTGAATTAAAATATGACAGAAAAAGTGTCGGTGATAGTCTCACAAAAATCCAACAATCCATAAAAAAGAAACACGATAAAGATAGATCCTTCGCAAAGAGATCGTGAGGCCCATCGAGCTGACCGAGCTAAGCTAACTAATTCAAAAGTCAACGGTAGAATGTCTAATCGATGCCAACAGAACACTCATCCAGGAACTCATCAAGAGGATATCCAATTCGTCAACCCAAACAAGCTGACCCAATCCGGAGATCTGTCCCATAACAGAGTTGATCAAATGAAAGGATTAGTTGTGCAAATATCTTCGACCGTCCCACAAAGGCCAACAACTTCTTGCCGAAGAGGATTTCTGAATTAGCCAACTCAGAGAAGTTGAACAAGCCAAGCCAACTCATACATGCTAAACGAGCTAAGCCGACCAAGCCAAGCTAACTTAAAAAAGTCGATCAAGCTAAAAAAATAACCAAAAGATGAATAGTTACCTTTAGACGCCAAAAACATCCCAACATAGGCCACTCCAACTAAAGACAAAAATGTAATACTATTGTTATGTTTAATGCTCTATAAATAGGAAAAAAAAATTATTAAAGATAAGTCCACTTTTACTGTTCATTTTTTATTATCACAAGATTTAGTATAGAAATCACCTCCTTCTCCATCTATTTTTTTCAATTTTTCTCTCACACTATAAAGTTCTCACACTATTCAATAGGTGGGATTCACGAACATTTTTAGATTCAACAAATACTATACCTTGTTATGCCCACTTGTTTTGAGATAATACCTATTCAACATAACAAAATAATTACAAAACAAGTAATTAGTTCTAGCCATTAAATCGTACTTAAGTTGAGTAGCTCTTAAAGAAATCATTGGCAATTCCAGTATTTTTAAAAAGGAATTGCTACTATTATATTACTATAACATGTCATATTATTAATATACTACCTAATTATTTATAATTACTAATAAACAATCCTATTTATTAAACTCATTTACAAACCACCTCAACATCTAATTATCATGGTAAATATGAGTTTATTACCTTAAGATGCACCCTATAATTATAACGAATTACATAACATCCAAATAATCATAAAAAAATATTACAATAAACCAATAAAAATCTCTTGGAAAAT